CCTCCAGTGGATTGAAGACCTTGTAGCATTTGAATAGATGGCAAACAGACACCATCTTCAAGTAGAAATTTGATCTTCTTTTGTTAAAGCCTATGCATAATTGCTGGAAACTTGTATGCATTTCATATAAACCTACTTATGTATGTTAAAAATCACAACTGCCTCCCTCAGAGTAAAATTAAAACAGAAATGGAAGTTTGGGTACCCATGGGCACCATGTTGGAGACCTTTGCTTGGTCACGTGCTCGCTCGTGCGCGTGCTCGCTCTCTCTCTCTCTCTCTCTCTCTCTCTCTCTCTCTCTCTGTGTGTGTGTGTGTGTGTGTGTGTGTGTGTGTGTTCGTGTGTAGCTTAGTTTAAATTATTCTTGTGATCAACTTTTTATGGTATGAGTAAAATTCCTAAAATGTACAACTGGAGTGGCGCAAAATTGTAGGTTTGAGATCTCCCTACTAATTAATCAGACAAGATTATGAAAATGGTGCAGGGGAGAAAAGTAGGGAAAGAGCTGAAATCATTTGATTTGTACGGTGAAGTGGCTTTGTCAGGAAGAAAGAAACTCCTGCATTGGGAGTGGGGAGATAGATTAATTACATTGCAGATAATGGGAAGTAAAGCAGTGGTAGTGACATTGTATTATCTTAAGACAAAAAAACAGAATAGCATTTGGAGAAGGTCATTTGAAAACTCTATTTGGAGAGGGAAAAAAATGGACCAGGGCACATCATACCAAAGTTGTGAAGAAGTGACTTACTTTTTGTAGGTGACCAAAGTTTTATTGAAACATTCTGGAAATGCCTGTTGTTGTTTTTTAAAGATAACTTCTCAGGTGAAAAGGCAGAAGAGAGTAACTGTTGCAGAAAGCTCTACAACTTTTTAAAGATGTTACTTTGAGGATGCATTTGGGCATGTGTTTTCAGATTCCTCTGAAATTGGTTTAGGTGGTTAGTCATGACCATCAGATTCTTAGTTGTCAATCCTGTGTAGGGAGGAATATAAATGTCAGGTCTTAGATATGAGAGCCAAGGATTTTTTAGATCTTGTACACTGCATGGCATTTAGAAACAATGCATTTATTATTTTTCAGATCTACTCAAAGTTTAATTCTAAGATGTATTTAAGGGAGGGTAGACTTCTTGATCCATGCCTGGAACTGTTTCAGGTAAAGCTGCTGAAAAGAAGTTTTAATCTTTGTGACAAAGGATTTCTTAACCTCTGCCCTTCATTACATCATGCAACATTGAAACAATAATCTAGGATTGGGCCACACAGAAGAACTGACTCAAGTTGCATTCACATGAATAAATTCAAATAGTGCTAAGTACTCTTGAGTTCTGAGGTATACTTGGTGTGCAACTTTATTGTCAACATCTTCTTTAAAATATGATCTGCTGAAGTGGTTTTTGTTTTTTGTTGTTGTTTTGTTTGTTCTGGGATATGGAAATCTCTGCATGCACACACACATACCCCCTATGCTGTTCTGACTCTCTGAGAAAGGAGCTTGAACCATTTAAAGGCAGGGAAATCTTTGTATCCCTTGATCTTTTTTAAAATTCATGTTACAAATTGGTTTAGCTGGTTGAGACATGTTTTGAGCAGAATAATTTAGTCAACATTTATTGCTGCAAATGTAAGTCTAATTTATATAATTTGCTTTATTCTTGAATGATAAACAGGTAATACATCAAAATCCTCTCCTTCCTTAACAGAACAAAACTAATTGCAAATATAATCCCCCCCCCCCAGCTTACTTTTATTTTAATTCACTTAGGTTGAAATTCTGTGAATACTTCCCTGAGAGTTAGTTCCAGTCAGCTGGGTAGGTCTTCTAAGTAAGTGTATAATGCAATTCTGTACACACCTATTTGAGATAAGTTCCATGAAACCCAGTGAGAATTACTCCCAAGTATACATGTAGAGGATGTATAGATACTTGTAAAGACAGAAAGCAGCACCTTCAGAAGTAATTATTATAAATGTGTTGTTTTGTACTTTGGTGTATTCCAGTTCACTGGCTCAGTTTCTCAGTATGTGTATATTGGCTAGTTGTAAAACAATAGGATCTTGCTCCTATGTTGAATCCTAAGCTTATATATCTATTATTGGTACATCCAAAATATGTTTTAACCTAGTCCCTTTGTTTTGCTAGATTTTTATAACACTGCTATCACTTACCGGACAGTTCCTAATGAATTGGGAATTTAATTTCTTACACAAGCACTTTATATGCTCATCATTACTGTCGCTCAGGAGCAAAAGCAGCATTTGTACATAATGCTGATCTGTGGTTTATGTTAACCATGGGTTTTGTTTTGTTTTGTTTTTTGCTTGAGCCATTAATTGTCTTACAGAAACCAAATGATTGCTTCCTTCTGTCATATTTCTTTTTATCCTGTCTGCTTCTACCAGCCTTCAGAGTGGGTTTATTTTAATTTTGTTCTTGCCCAGGTGCTTCTGTTTCAGGGCATACACCACCACAAACAAATCAGATATGAGCCATATTTCTGGATTTAGGCATCACAATAAGCCATGGTCTAAATAAATCAGATCTCTTAAGCAAATAGGCCATAATTTTGACTTGAGTTTTGTGGGTGGTAACAAATTATGGGTCGTTTGTAGAAATACATCAAGAAACAACAACAAACTAGATTTCAATAAAGCATGCCATGGCTTAGTGTTTTGTGTAAAATAGATCACAAACAATTATGAACAGATTATACAGAGAGCAACTAAAGTAATGCCTTTAGTTCATGCAACAATAGATACAACTATACCATAACTAAAATTTGCTAACATGTAATATCTTTTTTAATCCAGGGTGAAAATTGTTTGAATGAAAATTATGACTGCTATAAAAACCAAGGCAGTGGTAATGTTCTTGGGGAGAAATGCTTGGTTTTTAAGATTCTAATTTTAATAATAGTTTCTGAAGAAAGCAGATAGCCTTCTGTTGTTCAGTTTTAGTCCAAATTGATATAAAAGAGGTCCTCCACTGTAATATTTGTACCTAATTTGAAGCAACTTAATAATAGATATGGTATTGCTGGTATTCCATGTTAAGCTTGTATGCTATACATTGTTCCATTCTTGATAAAATCTAGAAATGATTCTTTGATAACCTCAATTATTTTTCTAGAATGTGCACAGGGAATATAAGTAAAATGGTACAGCCATAATTTTAAGTTATTTTAATCAAATTAATTCTTGTAAAAGAAAATACTTAACTTGAGGGGGAAATGGACTCAAGTTGGTCAGTTGCATTGTTTGATGCATAAGAGATGTGTGCTGGGAGCTTGCATTGTCTCATCGGAGCAGTAATGGAGAATGCATTTTTTCTTGCTTGGTCTCTCCTAGCAGAGAAGAAGAACATGTATAATACCATTATTTAAATGGGTGGCACAGCTATCTTTAGAATACTGCATACAGATCTGTCATCCCATCTAAAGTAGGAACTGAAAAAGCAAACACAAGGCCATTAAAATGGTCAAGGCCTTGGAGTACTTTTCTGTGAAGAAAGCTTAAAGACTGTAGGGCTTTTTCAATATAGGAAAAACATTAAAGGGAATACAATAAAATTTTCTATGGATATGGACAATTGGGAAGAGCAGATTGATAGCTTTTCCTTTGATCAATACTAGAACATATGGCACCTATAAAAAAACCCTTTGTTTTGCTATACTTTTATTGAGACAAAGCTCATTGATAAAATAATCCAGGTAAGGACTAAATCATTTGTACGTCTGACCTTACTAAATGGCCATAGCATTCCCAGATTTTGAAGAGCTTCTCAAAATCTGAACTAGCAAGATACTCCAATTGAGCACAAGCATTGGTAATGCTAAGTTCACATTTCTGGAACATACGTCTTCAAAATTCTGTAACAACCAGCATATTTCATTATTTTTTTTTCCTTTCTCCATATAGGAGGAAAGTTTTAACTTGCATTTAGGATCAAACTAGCTGTGGGAGATAGAACTACTAATTACATAATATTCCCCCCTCTCTTTTCTATGGAATTCAAGGAAATATAGTCCTTGCCAATGGCAGAAGAATAAGGCCGTTTCTCATGATGAGTTGTGAAAATTGAAGGACTTCTTTTTCAAAGCTTTCTTTGTGTAAGGGATTTTATTCAGGGTCAAGGCGATGAAGAGACTTTGGGTTTAGGTTCAGTTTTGTTTTACTGGAGAGAAAAAGCCCTTTCTGAACTAGTTTTGTGTTTCAGTTTAGTCTTGCTCTTTGACCTGACCACCTTCTAGCAATAGTACTACCAAATCAGAATCTTGCCTTCATTATAAGACTACCTGCATGGTGTGGAATGCTTTGCTATTCATGGCACTGCTCTCTCCTTTCCTGACGCTATATTTCCTTGTATCTTCTCCTAATCCTTTGGCCACCTATTTTTACTGCTTTGACACCAGTGTCATATGGTTTGTTCCTCTCTTCACTGTATTGCCCTTTCTGCTTAAAATCCTGTTCTTCTTTCAACCTGTTAGTTCTGATTTTGAAGGAAGTTTCTCACTTTCGCTTGGGATATCTTGTGTAGCCTTCTACTGAGACTTCAGTTGATTTGTTGGATTGGAAATAACATGTCATTGCACAGGAATGTGAGGTGAACTTCTAACCAATAGAAAATGAATTGTGTGTAGTAGGTGGCATGATGCCTTTTAGCGGCCGTATGCAATCTGGAGCCATGGGCTGCAATCATGCAATCCTCCTCAGCCCAAGTGGCTAGCCATTTTCCTGGTTTCCTCTGATGGAGAAGTTACAATTGTGGTGGTGATTGCTGCGGGTTGAGAGAGGCTTTTGCCCCCCCCAGCCCCCTGAGGTACTCCACACTTCAGCAGACAGGGTGGAGAGGCATGCTGTGTGCATATGTATTAACAAATGCATGAGTGTGGCTCCTGGGTTCCCCACTAACCTTTGAGGCCAAAAAGAATGTGTACCCCTGCTTTTTAGCTTCACTGATTCTGTACTTCTAAAACTTTCTCTGCTTTATTTTTAGGCTGCCCTCTGGCGAGGCAGTAGAAGACAGCAGAGCTGGCCTCTGCAACGGGAGAGGCTGGACTTCCCATCTCTCTGTGCTGAATGGCTACTATGGCGCCCGCTCTCACTGACGCAGCAGCTGAAGCTCACCACATCCGGTTCAAACTGGCTCCCCCATCCTCCGCCCTGTCTCCTGGCAGTGCCGAAAACAACGGCAACGCCAACAACATTCTTGTCACCACCAACGGCACCAAAAGGAAAGCTGAGGATTCCAGCCTAGATTTCCGAAATAACCCTACAAAGGAAGAGTTGGGAAAGCTGCAGCCCCTGGTGGCATCTTACCTCTGTTCGGATGTGACTTCTGTTCCTCCAAAAGAGTCTTTGAAACTACAAGGGGTCTTCAACAAGCAGACAGTCCTTAAATCTCACTCTCTGTTATCTCACCCCTTCTTGAAAAATAGTGACCTTTTGGGAAGGCAGCCAGTGTTGGAGTTTTCCTTGGAAAACCTAAAAACCATGAGTACTAGTAGCCAGACCCCTCTGCCACAAGCACCTGTCAATGGCTTGGCTAAAAAATTGGCTAAGAGTAACAGCTCTGACCATGAAAATGCAACTTCTCTTAATGGTGGGAAACGTGCTCCTCCTTCTGCCACCCTCCAGGATATTGATTCTCATATCCCTGGGGGTTCTGATTTGGGAGATATGAAATCAGGATTGACCAATTGCACTCTTCCACACAGAAGCCTTGATGCAGAGCATGCAGTTCCACGTAGCAATAATGGCACTGCAACTAAGCCTACCCACAGTTCCCAGGAGCAACAGCATGGGCTTGAAGCAGGTGGAGAGAACAAGTTGTTGTCATTCTCTGCTGTGCCTTCTTGTTCTGATGGGAGCAGCAAACCAGAAGAACAGAAGATCTCTTTGCTACAGAATTCTTTTAGCACTCTAGAGTCAGATATAAGGACAAGGGTGCTGTTGCGGCGGCAGGCTGACATTGAGAATCGTGCTCGCAGACTGCAAAAGCGCCTGCAAGTGGTGCAAGCCAAGCAAGTAGAGCGCCACATCCAGCAGCAGCTTGGTGGCTTTTTGGAGAAAACACTAAGCAAGTTGCCAGCATTGGATTCCTTGCGACATCGAAGTCAGCTGATGCTGACGCGCAAGGCAGAAGCAGCTTTGAGAAAAGCTGCCAATGAGACAAGTTCTTCAGAAGGACTGAGCAGCTTCTTAAGAAGAGACTCCATCTCGGAAGAACTGGAGCGGTTTACCGCCAGTGGAATGGCTAACCTGAGATCTTGTGAGCAAGCATTTGACTCAGATGTTACGGATAGCAGTTCAGGTGGGGAGTCTGATATCGAGGAGGAGGAACTGACCAAAGCAGACACTGAACAGCACCATGTACCGCTGTGAGTAACACCTCTAGAAGCAATTGCCTGGTGTGGGGAAAGGCAGTAACAAAAATTTTATTTTAGGTTTAGAAAGCAGGTTTCTTGTGAGAGGAAGATTAGCTATCATGAGGAAGAGGGATAGCGTCTAAATATAAGCTAAATGTTTGCTTGAAGAGAATAATGTTACTTCTTCACCTCTAACTCAGTTAATAGGTATTAAGATAGCTGAGAAGACACAGTCACCCTCACCCATACTTACTTTGCTTTTTACGCAAAGGGAGTATTACCTCTCTCTTTAGCTTCCACTCACCTACTCCCCTATCTGTGCTTTCTGACTTTGAAATTCTGTTCTGCTCACAGAGGGAGTCAGAATAGTTTATTGTGTAACCATTGCCAACCTGTTGCACTCCAGACGTGTTGGACTGCATCTCTTGTCATACCCAGGCGGCATGGCAGAGGCCATCCTCCAGGATATGATGGGTTACAGCCCAACATATCTGGAAGGTCCTAGACTCTCTAAGGTAGGTTTTTTTCTTTTAAATTACTGAATATGGCTTTGGGCACTTAGCAAAAAGGCAAAAAAGAGGCTGAAATGTGCATAACAATGCACATTGTAAAAATGCGTATACTGGGTTTGATTCAGATTTAGTCAACCTCATAGTAGAAGTTGTTGGGACTTAAATTGGTCTTGACTGACTTGTCCCATGTGATTTCATTGGGTGTATTTTAAGTATGACTAAGTCAGTTTGTAACTTGCAGTGTTTGGGACCTGTGCCATTTATTCTTCTACTGTTACATTTAGGAATACTGCAAAAAACTGAGAGTGTTAAGACGGAGTTTGTTGGAGTGATGTTCTTGTTTAAATTGTTGAATGCAAGCTGTTACATGTGTAAAACAGCGATAGACAACTTATGGTCCAAAATATATGGAGGGCACCAATTTTCACAAGCCCCAGCCAGCTTGGCCAGTGGTCAGAATTTACAGGAATGTGAGTGCAAAGCATCTGGAAGGCATGAGGTCACCTACCCCAGTGTAAAGCATTCTAGCTCTGCTGAAAGTGGAATCCTTTCTCTGGTATCAAAGGCCTGAATAGCTCTGACATGTGAGCATACCTTTGTCCAGTAATGTCCTCATGGATATTAATGTCCTCTTTTTTAATAAATAGCAGGAGTAAGATCAATATTCACTGTGTTGAAGTGAAATGGGAGGGGAAGAGATGGTGTTAAAGGAACAAAGTGTGATTATGGAATTGGAGAAGGAAGAGAAAGAAATGTTTAGGAAAAATGGCTCAAGGAGATGAAAGCAATGTTTGTGAGCTGGTAGCAACTGGTTGTGTTGAAGAGAACAGTTACCTCTAATAGTGTATGATGTCCTTCTATCTATCTGTGCAGACTTCTACCTGTGCAGTTCTTTTGATGAATCTGTATTTTTTCCAGGTAGCTGGACTGAAGATCTCTGCAAATGGCACAGAGATCCTTATTTTAAAAACCTACTGTTCCAAATCATTGCTTAGCATAACTCTTCATCGGTGCAGACTTAGGTCTTAATATATTTTATGGTGTTGACTGGTGGGAGTTGTAATCTCTAATAACTGGATGGTGCTGTATTGGGAAAGCCTGATCTACACTGCCTGGCTATGGCTTTCTAAAGTTGTAGATAAGGGGCTTTCCCAGCTCTGCCTCAAAAGTGCAAGACTGTATGCATGACTAGCATGTTGTCTACCACTGAGCTACATAGAGCCCCTCCCTGTAAATAATCTCCTATAACTCCATAAGTCACAGTTATCACATAAGACTGAACTATAGTACTTAGTGGACTCCTCTGCATCAGGTATCAGTGCTGTTCTCCATACCATCTGCAAATGACTGATTGGTTTTAGCAGCAACTTGATCCTTTTCTGCTGCTCACAGTATGCTTTTATATGAGAAGAATATTGTATTAACTGTATGGAAATCATTCATAGGCCTGGTTTGCACGTAAGAACTCATGGACTGTTTTTAACCATAGGTTGTGGAGGTCAAGCACAAGTGAGCTGCCTCCTGACATTTGCCCAATTCTGGTTTGCTAAATGGGGTTGTTGGGTTGATAGTTGTGATGTTTGATCCTGGTATTCTGGGTTCTTGAAAGTTAACCCAGAGTTTTAATCCATGGTTTATTGGATTAAAACCTGGAGTTGATTCAATTATCCAGAATGTTGAGTTTGGATGTCACAACTAACAACCTAAGATCTTTTTGAGGATTAAGCAACTCAGGGTTTAAACTCAACAGTAAACCAGAATGCTGGCTTCAAATGTCACAGCAGGCAGCCCAGGAACTCTCCCTACATGAATGGTGATTAAGCAGGAAACAACACACTTACTTGTTACCCAGAAATTGCTATTAGGTATGAGCTAGGTCGTGGTGTGTATTGTTTCTCAAGTTCATCGTTTGATTTCTGAAAGTCATATACACTGCCATCACACTGTGATGTTTATTAAAATTAAAATAAACATAATAAAAATATGTCTGACGTAAAAGCACATCGAGGGGAAAATGGCCGCTACCTTTCTAGTTGTAAGGATCTGGCTGCAGGGCTTTTCTGGTTTAATCTTTCCCTGCGGCTCCCCCCCCCCCCCCGCCCCCAGCTTCCAGAAGCAACTGGCAGACCGTTTTGTATATGAGCTTAAATTTGGTCTGTAGTGTTTGGTCTGTCATTTAATCAGTTGCATTTGGTCTGTCATTTAATCAGTTACATTTGAGTAAGTTACAGGCTAACTGTTAAGTCATATGTACACAACTTAATGTTTTCACTTGGTAAAATGTGATAGGCTAAGCTATCTCTTTGAGGGAAGGGATTTACATGGAGGCAAGTGTTTAACTGCCTTCATAGCCACAGTTTATATCTCTGCCTTGGTGATGCATGTTTGCTACTGTTAACACATAATGGAAACAAACTGAGTATTAAATAATAAGACTGTCAAATGAATTATAAAATATTTTGGAATGTTAGCCTGGAGAGGCTTTTTGTGCCTCAAGTTCACATACATTTGCAGTTTCTTCTGAAAATGGCGGTCTTTCCCCAACTTCTAGTGCCTTCTAGATGTGTTGGACTACAACTCCTTGGTGGTGAATGTTAGGAGTTAAGCGTTCAATAAGCATGAACAGCACCAGCTCTGGGGAAACTGTATTACTGCACTTATGCGCTCATTTGACAACTTTTCCAATTGAGTCTTAATCAAAGCAGGTCACTTTTATCACAACTAGATAGCATTGTAGCTTTACATAGTAAGTAAAAGTGATGTAAGCATATGCTTTTCCAAGAATGCCAATGACTGGTATCTTTTTAGCAGCCATTGGGCAAGCAGGAAGAGCCTCTGTGGCTAACCTTAAAATGTGGAAAGGCTGATGTGGGTGATGAGTGATCAGATAATATAGTTCCCAAACTGTTTAAGGCCTTAAATGGCAAAAGCAGCACTTTAAATTGGGCTTGGATACACACTGGAAACCAGTGCAGTTTACTTACTTATTTCTCCATGCCTTATCCCATTGGCTTTAGTTCTCTTTTTCCTCTCTGCTTACTTTCCTAGGATTTCATAGTCTCTGTAGCATCATCAGCTTCCCTAATACGATCTTACGTTTGGAAATGATGCATTTTATGTGTGTGTATTGTTAATCAATTCTGTATTGTCAAGTTTTTAAGTAGTGTTGCAAATTTTAATCAGTAGATTAATCAAGTGAATCTTTAGCTCAGGCCTGTTTTTAAAAAGAGAGCAATGGCTATGCTTGAGATAAAATGTCAAGGAATTAGCTGAATGAAAGTTCTTTTCTTTCTTAACGATTTAATAAAATAAATGATCAAAGTATTAATTTGACATTAATATTAATATGCTTCACAAATATTAGCTAATGTCATATTTTTGTGTTTTGAAGTTGACCATGTTTAAGGGAGGAAAATAATATAATTTCCACTTCTTTTTCTTTTAGTTTTGAACTGTTGTTATCAAATATTTTAATTGTATTTTATATTATTATGTAACTTTTTATAAGTCATCCTGAGGCTTGTGCAAAGGTTAGGATAAAAATGTTTTAAATAAAATAATATATAATACAAAAGTTATAACAGAACACAATAAAATACTTGTCCATTTAACATACATAGCTGGAGGATATTTGATCGATGAATATTAAGCTGGAGAGACTTTGATGAAGAGAAATGCTTTATGAGATTTGTATACCCCCTAACTGGTGATTGGCTCAGTCATAAAAACCAAACCAACCACAACAAAATAACTGTTGTTGTTACTGTTAAATAACTGCAATTAAATAAATAAAATAATACAAGTGTCAAAATAATTAAATATTAAAAACACTGAGGAAAAAGCAGTTTTTAGCATTTGGCTAAAACTTACAACTGTCTTTTCATGGTGAAGTATTGAAGGCATGGTGAAGGCATGGGTAGCTACATTAAACTGCTCACACAATCACTAGAGAGTAGGCCGGAGACTAGGTGCTTTCCCAGATAACTTGTCCTAAGTTGTTTTGGGTTTTTTGTATTATTACAAGTACTTGCAGTGTGGCCTGACAATATAGAGTGGTACCTTGGCTCATGAACACCTTGGGTCACAAACAAAAATTTCATGAAAATTTTGACTTGGGTCACAAACTCTGCTTTGGGTGGTGACCAAGATCGCAGCCATCTCCCCCCCCCCCCCGAGTGGGGAAATGGCCACGATCACAGTCACGTTCGTGCAGGGAACGCATGCGTGATCATGGCTGTGTTGTGCCCGTCTTTCCTGCAGGAGCACACCTGTGATCACGCATGTCTTCCCTGCATGAACGCAACTGCGATCCTGGCCATCTCCCCACTTGGGGGGGGGGCTGCAATCATGCTGGTTGGGGGTGGGGGGAGATGGCTGAGATTGTGCCCTTCTTTCTTGCAGGAGTGCACCCATGCCAGGGTTTCTTTGAGAAGCACCACCCCAACATAAATGAAATGGACAGAGTGTTGAATCTGATGAACAATAACGTGGTCTCTCATT